CGCCGCCGCAGCAGCAGCCCCACCTGGTCCCTGTGTCTCTCAGCAGCCTGATGTGAGTCCTCGGGGGCCTGCGAGTGGGAAGGGAGAGCTGAGGGCTGGGAAAAGGAGGGGCCTCTTAAGAGCTGGAACTCTCTGAGGCTGTCTGTCATCATTGGACAGCACGTGAGCCACTAAGAGGCAGCCCTGGAGTCCCCTGTACAGGCCTGGGAGACCCACCCTGAGCCCTTCCCCCAGCCAGCCCTGGAGTAGGAATGGGGTGGGAGTCCCCGGGCAGCAGAAGAGGACCTCAGATGGAAAGACAGCTAATGTGACTTATTTCCTTTCTTTCCCCTTCACTTGGCCCTCTCTCTCTTCTGGTCCCTCTGTCTCCATCCACTTGTCTCCTCCCACCCCCGTCCTTCATCTTCTCATCCTATGTCCTCTCTGTCTTGTGACCTCCTATCACTTTTTCTGTCACTCAACTCCTCTGTTTCTGTCCCCTCTACCCCATGCCCATTGCCTCTCTCCAGCCCGGGCAGCCCCCTGCCCCACGTGGGTGCTGCTCTCACAGTCACCACCCATCCCCACATCAGCATCAAGTCGGAACCAGTGTCCCCAAGCCGTGAGCGCAGCCCTGCGCCTCCCCCTCCAGCTGTGTTTCCGGCTACCCGCCCTGAGCCTGGCGACGGTCTCAGCAGCCCGGCTGGGGGCTCCTATGAGACAGGGGACCGGGATGATGGACGGGGGGACTTCGGGCCCACGCTGGGCTTGCTGCGCCCAGCCCCAGAGCCTGAGGCTGAGGGCTCAGCTGTGAAGAGGATGCGGCTCGATACCTGGGTACTGTAGCATTACCCCTCCTGTCTGCCATTGTCTGCTACACCCAGGGACTGCCCCGTATGCCCCCCAGCCTGTCTTATCTCCCGCCTCAGAGGCCTTGTGGCCCCCTAGCCCTTCCAGCAGCCCTTCAGGGCAGCACCAACACCCTTTTACCCCTGCCAAAGGCCCACCTACCATCCCTCCAGCATCAGTCTTTCCGCTCAGTGACTTCCTCCCCTCCCAGCTGGCCCTGCCACTAGAATCCTGGCCCTATGGGGAGAGGGGCGTGGGGGGCACATACCCCATAGCCTGGGCCACCCCTCACACCCCCTTCTCCATCTCCTCTCTTCACAGACATTAAAGTGACGATTCCCACTCCCCTCCTCTCAGCCTCCCTGATGAAGAGTTGACAATCTCACCGCCCACCCCTCCCTGTCCTGGGCTCCTCCTGCTCGACCCCCACTTCCTTTCTTGTGCTCCGTGTCCTGTTGACGGTTACATTTGTGTATAATTATTATATTATTATTATTATTATTATATTTTTTTTAATTTGGATTCTCGCTTTGGAGAGGGGGATGCTCCCATCCCCTCTTTCTGCACCCCCTGCCATTTTCACTGGCTGGGGGAGCTCTTTTTTGCGGGAAGGGGGGGACACTTTGCACGTTGTACACATATGCTGCAGGAGGGGGTGGGGGGCCCGATAGGCCTTGGGAAAGGACAGGTGCCGAGCCCTGCATGCGGAGCCCTCCCACCCCATCCCCCAGATAGAGAGAAATAACCAAAAAACTACCAAACAACAAAAACCCCTTACAATAGACTGAAACCCCAAAGTTGGCTTGATGGGTGGGTTTGTGTTTCAGGGGGAAAGTGAGGCAGAGGTTCTGAAAAGAGTCTCTGCTTCTGGGCTGTTCTGTGGCCACAGGCACAAGGGGCAGAGTACCTAAGCCTGGGCCCCAGAGGCCCCTGCACACACACAACACACTCTCACTAATTCTAATTCTCGTGTGAGCTGCACCTCCAACATGTGGGGGTGCTGGCCAAGCTTTTGGGCTGGGAAGGCTGCCTGGGAATCTGAGGCTTGATCGGGAGGGGTTTGAGGTGGGGGCCTCTATGAAGCACATTGGAGAAAAAGACAGAGAGCCATGAGGAGAGGGCTGAGGAGGGGCAGAAGGGCTGGGGCTAGGGGTGAATCGGGGCTTCCTCCCTTCCCCAGCGTTTTCTCTAAGATAATACAGTGCAATAGCTCCCCATCCCTCAGTTGATACCAGCCCTGTAAAGCTGGCCATAAAGTGCAGGGAGAACAGGGGAGAGTGAGGTGGCTTAGCAAGAACCGGCCTTGGGCACCCCGAGATGCCTGAGGACTGCATCCTTTGCATCCAGGGACAAGTGTGAGTGAGGGGACTTGCTCTTCCTTGCACGTACACATCCCCAGCAGAGTGGACATTGGGGTGGTGTGTGAGGGTGGGAGAGGGGACGGAGGAGGTCTGAAGAAGGCGTTCCTTCTTTCTTCCTTGGCCCCTCTCCCCAGCCTTCCTCCCAGCTCCTTCCGCTCCTGACCCCACCTCCCTGCTCTTGGCGCCCTCATTGTCTTGCTACCTCCTGTCCCACCACCCCCAGGCCACATCCCACCTTCCCTCTTGGCTACTGTAATTGTAAATAGCAACCTTTGGAAAACGTTAGCAGTGTAACAGTCCAGGAAACTGTTTTTTTGTTGTTGTTGTATTGATATGAAATGAGATTCTATTTTTGTCAAAGTATATTGTAATAATAATGACTCAAACGGCCCGTACTGTACAGACGAGATTCTTCTGCTGTTGTTCTTGCTCCCCTCCCCTCCCCCGAGTCCACCCTGTCTGCTGCCTCCACAGTGGGGGCAGCCAAAGCGTGGGGGCCTGAGACCTCAGGCTGGATCACAGATCAGACTGGAGGGGGCAGGCCCCCAGCCCACGATCCACCACCACCCCCTGCCCTAAGGGGCCTGGCCTGGGGTGACTTGGGCAGGCAGACTGGGGCCTGCCCCACTTCTTCACACAAGCCCAGCTCCTCTGCCCAAGGGGTGCAGTGCTCCCTTGGGGTTTCATCCTGGTGGGAAAATAGAGTTAGACAAGGCCCGGTTTTGTGATAAGTGACTGTCTTTGCCCACCTCTATGATCCAGCCGCTTGCAGTATTCCAACACTCGATGTAGGGAAGGAAACCAGAAGCAGAGGGGTGCGGGTGACCGCACAGGTACCCAGGTGTGTTTATGAGGGCATCTGGTATTTATGTGTCTGGGTGTACCTTTGTATTTATGTGTGTGTGTATGGTTGCACGAGTGTACCTTTGTGTGTCTCTGAGCCCGTCTGGGCACGTATGTGAATCTGTATGAACTGAGCTCTGAGGGCGTGTCTGTGTGCACGTGCGCCTGGGTGTGTTTACAGAGGGACAGGTGGCTCTTGCAGCCACACAGCCCTGGCTTCCAGCTCCATGACTCTCCCTCCTGAGCCCCACTCTTTTCTTCCCTGCTCCATCACCTGTTCCCACCCTCAGCTCTAATATGTTTATACTGCAGTTAGGGAGGATCTGGCAGTTGGCTCTCTTTGTTTCTCCCTACAGCCCTACCTCTCCCAGGGTTCCACGCACAATTGTCCACCCAGTCCCCACCCCTTTAGACACAGCTCCCTTTCCTGGAGCACCCTCTTCCTCTGACCCCAGCCCTGCTTTCAGGGTGACACTCAAAAGTTCCTCTTCCTCCCTAAAGCTTTTTCCCCACCTAGGCAGTGATCCTTCCTGCCAGCTTACCCCCACCTGCTGATTGGGCACATAGCATGTCCAGTCTTCCTGCAGGTTCCTAGAGGTAGTTTCAAGAATCAGTGAGACTTGATCAGGGCCTTGAAAGAAGCCAGGGTGTAGTCTTGTGCATGCATGTGTGCATTCCTAGAGCCTTGCCCAGTGCCTGGCACATAGCCGGCACTCCATAAATGCTGAGTGGGTGAAAGGTGAATGATAGGTGCTCAATAAATGTTGAAGGACTGGCCTTCCGTTCTCAGGCTATACCCGCAGTCTGCCCACCTTCCTAGGCTGGGCTTGGCCACCATTAAACATGGGGTGGGGGTGAGGCCCCTGCAGTTCATGGTGCAATATTCACCAGTTTTGCCCTCTGCCTTGTAATGGCAAACCTGGCTTTTGATTACCATGTGTGGATGTGTGTGTGTCCTTTTTCCCCTATTCCTGGGGGCAAGGGTGGCCTGTGAATGAATATGTGACATTTCTGCAATTCAGTATCCCAGGGTTTCTCTTGGGGGTGGGGGCTCCTGGCAAGCCAGATGAATGGGTCCCTGGGAACCCAGACCTCAAGTGGGGATTTTACTTCTTCTTCCTCTCACAAGCCAAATTTGCCTCCACCCACTCCTTCCTCCGAAAATCTGGGCATTTGCCAAAGTAATCACTGGAGTCATCCAATGCCCCTCCCCTCCCCAGGTTTCCCACAGTTTTCAGGGACAGTGGGCAAGAGGACCCCCCACCACACACACGCACACACACACAGCCCCCAGTGGAACACAACATTTCTCCTCCCCTGAGCAGTGCACTCAATCCAGCCGACTGACCCCTGACCCTTATCCAGCCCTCCGCACCTTGGACAGGAAGGAAGTAATGCACCTTCTCTTGCTGATTATTTATTTGTTTGGAGAGACAGAAATGATGTAAAAGTGTATCTAGAAATATCTATATCTATATATTTTTAACTGACTCTTTGGAATCCCTTGGGGTGGGGTGAGGGGTGAGTTTAGGCTTTCATGGTGGGGAGGAGACATGGAGCCTGGGAACACCTCATCTCCCCTCTTGCCACCTCCCTCCACCCCGTAAGCAGTTGATAGGAGTGGGATTTGTATGGGGGGAGGGGGGCTGGAATGTTATTTGGAGAATCTGGATTCTCTCTGTCTTCCCCATTCAAGTCCCAGAGGGAAGAGGGGGGGAGAGGGAGTGGGGGACAGGCCATGGAGGGGCCCCACCCCCCAAGCCCGACAATCACCCACACTCCTGGGGCTCCTCCTGGGTCCTGGGCAGGGCGAGTCTAAGTGTGTGGCTGTTGATTTGTTTTCAATATTTCTTTTCGTGCTGTATGGTGATGCTTTCTTAGTATTCTACACAATAAGAAAAGACAAAAGTCCTCGAGATTCTTATGAGTTTTGTTTGAAAACTCTTTTCACTATATTTGTTGTAAAGAGGTTTACTATTAAAAGAAAAAAAAATACACGTTTCTGATACTTTGGCTTGGGCTCTGGTTTCTTTGGTGCGATCGGCTGAGGTGGGGAAGGAAGGACTGTGTGGCCCTGCCATGTTGAGAGGCCAGACCTTCACCTCAGCAGGAAACAATGATGGTTAGCCTGCCAGGTAGGCACTTTGAGATGTCTGAGGTGGGGTCTTCAGGTGAGAATTTCTTCCAGCTATTCTGTCAGAAGCAGAGTGAGCTCCAGGATTAAGGAGGATTGTCTGGTTAGAAGCCAGAGGAAGGATCCTGGGACACAAGAAAAGCAGAAATACCACTCAAGGCCAGGAACAGGTCAGGAACAGGATGGTGTGTGGGGTGGAGAACGAATAGTGTGATAGAGGACCTTCAATTACTGAAAACTTCAGCAGCAGAAACATGCCCCAGCACTATGTTAGGCACAGATGGATTCCACCTTCACGGCCCCCACAGTGTTCCCTCCAGCAGGGATATTTGCCCTGCCCCTCCCTTTTGAAGTGCTTTATCAGTGCCACGGAGCCTCTCCCTGCCCTCCCCATATCTCAGAGGGTTCGCTGACATGGTGCCCTTCTGCCAGGCCTGGTGGCTCTTACTCCCGCATCCCCCTGCCCTGCACGGCTGTGCTGTGGGCCAGATACAGGGCCTGTGGAGGGAAGTGCATAGGGAGGACTTGGCTCACTACTAACAGGGTTTGGCCTCTCCTCTGTCCCAGGCCCAAGCTGGGTGCTGCAGAAGCAAAGATGGAGTACGAGGGGCCTGTATACAATTGACAGAGACAGGGCTACAGATGCCTGAAGTCCGCAATGTATAGTTTGTACTTTGCTTGCTACATATGCAGGCTGCTGCAAGAGCCTCTGGGGGTCGGGCACATCACAGAAAGTCTTTGTTCCTTGGGTTCTTCATCTGCAGACTGCAGTGATCTGTGCCAGTCCCACCTGCCTCCCAGGATCATTACAGTCTTTGCCTTCTCCCATAGCTGGAGCAGAGGTGAAAGATGCTGAGCAGGAAGGGGTTAAGAAGACACCATCCTCCAGATGAGGCTCCTCTGCTGGCTGCCTATGACCAGAGCAGCTTTGACCGAACACACAATCCTGAGGAAAGCCTCTCTCTGTATATCCCATAACTGCTCCTCAGACTGTTCGGCCTGCACTCTTCTTCTCTATAGGCACTGGCCCCTGATGTCTTGCATAGGCATTACTATTGCCCATAAATATTTCCTGTCCTCTTCCCCTTCCTGGGCATACAGAAGACTGTATTTCCCAGTGCCTGTGTAGTCAAGTGAGGTCATTAGACTAGTTCTGGCCAACGGACTGTATTGGAAGTAATGTGTGTCACTTCCAAAATAAAGCTGGGGATGTGATTCTCCAAGTGCTCTTGCCCTGTCGTGGAAACTGTGGAAGCACATCAAAGCAGCCTGGATTGCTAAACTGCCTTAAGGCGTTATCTAGCACCACAGTGGTCTTCATGTGAATAGAAAATAAGTGCAGTGTGTTAAGCCACAGAGATTTTAGTATTGTGTCTGCAATATAACCTACCCCATCCTGACTAATGGAGTGTCCATTCACACTGGGACAGCCTTGAAGCCCCATCTACTGCATACGCGCCGTGGTGTGGTACAAAGATCTCTGGACTTGGCATAGTCTAAAACTAGTTCAACCCCAAGTTCTGCTGCTTAGCAGCTGTGTGGCTTTGGGTAGTCACAGTCTGTCCAAGCCACTGTTTCATCAACTGCAAGACAGAGCTAATAGCTGCCTGTCTTCTCTAACCCCAGCCTTCCCCTTCTCCAATCCATCCTCTCATCTTTGGCCCAGTGCTGGTCATCTAACACCTCCTGGTTCTCCACCGCCCACCAAATAAGCCCAAACTCCTTGGCAGGGCTACCAGGGCCTTCAAAGAACCAACACAACCCCTTTTTCAGGCTTAGTCCATGTGTCTCCACTGCACATCCTTTGGCCTCTAAGCCAACCAGGCAGCGCACTCCATTTCTTTGGACACTTTGCATCTTCACTCATGCCATCCTTCTATCTGAAATGCAACAAACTTTTATTAAGCACTTGTTCTGCGTGAAACCCTTTGTTAGGTGTTGGAGATACTGCGAGGAACAAGACAACTCCTGCCCTCAACTCACAGTTGAGTGCAGACAAGAGACAAGTGAACCAACAGTTGGCACTGACTCAGCAGGCTGGGTTAAATGGCACATAGGAAGGATGAAAGTGGACTGTGGGGTCAGAGGTGGGGCACACCCATATCTGAACCAGTACAGATCAAGGGAGGCTACTTAGGAGAGGTGTTCAATCTGGATTTTGGAGATAAGTACAAATGCGGGCAGGGAAGGCATTCCTGGTAGCAGGTACAGGAAGGATGTCAGGTATGGAGAGAGAACAGTGCATTCAGGAAATCAAATACTGTGGTGTGGGTCAAAAGAATAGCAGATAACATTGAAGAAGTAGGCAGAAGCCTCACTGTGAAGGGCCTTGATTGCCATAATTTGGATTTTATTCTGCAGGAGATATTTGATCACCAAAGGATTTTAAGTAGAGGAGGGACTTGATCAGATTTCATTTCAGAAAGCTCCTGCCAGTACAAACTCCCTCTGACAGTAATGCTGCGAACCAGCTGGAAGGAATGCAGAATGGAGGCCCAGTCAGGATCCTTTACAAGTGAGAGGATGAATTTAGTAAATATTTAAGAGGTAGAATAACAGGACTTGGAAACTACCTAGTAGGGTAGAGGAGGAAGGAAAGGAAGGAGGGTCAATGACTCCCAATCTCATGCTTGGACTACTAACTGGATGGTGGTGTAGCTCCAGACAAGGCCACCAGGTTTGTCTGGAGAAGCTGAGACTGATTTTAAATGAACTGAGCTGGAGGTGTATGTGGCAGCCATTGTATCGTATTGACAGATGGTCATCATGTCCAGGGTAGCAGGATGAGGTCACCCGTGGGTAGGGAGAAGGTTTTCCTGAAGAGGGAAGCCATTCACAGTGCTGGTCACCCGTGAAGAAGTCATCCTCAGTGTGTGGGCACTCCAAGGCCAATGGAAGAAGGCTGACGGGCGTGGCAAGGAGAGACTCATGTAGAGGGCCCCAAGCTGCATCTGCGTAGTAGTGGTGTGTAGGTCAGATGAACCAGAAATGTATTTCCTATCTGCAATCTCCTAACTTCACTAATAGCTTTCTTGATTCACTGGTATTGTGCTACCCTTGAACAAAGGAAAGCTTGCTGGTGCATTCTTCGGGGCATCAAAGGGAAGGAGGAGTGCTTTGCTCCCCAGCGGTAATTGCAGGGTCAGCTGTGGTGGATCCAGTGCAACCCTAGAGGATGTTGGTCTCCTTTGATAAGAGAAGATGACACTTCTTTACCAGATACTTGGAGGAGATTCAAGAGTAATATCTGATAGGCAGCTAGACAGATGAAGCTGAGGCTCAGGACAAAGCCTAGGACAGAGATACGAGTAGACTCATTAGACATCAGCCTAGAGAGCACCTTAACTTCTCCACGCCTCGTCACTTCCCATGTAAAATGGGTTGCTGTGAAGTTTAAATAAACAATACGTATTAATCACTTAAAACCATTCCTAATCAAAACAAATGCTCAATCACTGCTAGTTATCTTTTTAAATTTTTCTTTTTATTCTTTCTTAGTTATTATTTTTATTACTGCTACTTGTCAAAGACATGAAAATAGATGAGCTTACTTGGTTAAGAAAAGGTCTATGGGCAAAAAACTGCTCTACACCCATATTTCTATCTTTGAAATTTTTATCATTCAAGCTTTAACTCTGACAACTTTCCCTCCATAATACTTTTCCTGAGTTCCCCCATCCTACCCAGCTAGCTATGATATCCTCTCTTATAAGGTGTCTTAGGAATCTGCCCCTTCTTTATAACTCCTACTTCATTCTACCCGAAAATGTAGGTACTCATTTCTATTTTCTCTCCTACAACTGGACTGAAAGCTCCTCTTAAAAATTCACCACCTCACCCATTTTTATGTCTGGCTCAGTGCCTGGCACAGTACGTGTTCAATCAGACTCAAATGAGATAATGCATGTGAAAGTGCACTTCGTAAACTGTGGAGTTCTACAAACTACAAAGCACTTTTTCTCTCTCTCAAGGGCGTGGTGACTTTCTGCAGCTTCTCTTCTGCTTTCCAGCATCAGATCCAACGGGGCTGAGGAGTGTGGGTTTCAGTTTCTTGTGCTTAGTTATCACTCCACAGAAGAATTAGCACCCAGTGGGATCTTACCCTCAAAGAAGTGGCTTCTGGGAGGCGGGAGGCAAAGGGTGCTATCTGATTGTTCCAGCCAAAGAGGCCAGGCAGTTCCCTGTAGCTCATGTTCTTGTGACTCACCCCTCAGTCCCATGGGCTGAGTAAGTTTTCCAGCCTTGTGATTGTGGAAACTTGTTTCAGGAACAGCAAGCGGATGTGAAAGGGACATAAGGTGACCCCACCCCAGGCTCCAAAGTGGCTCCTACTCAGCCGATACAGACTGCTTGTTTCTGATTGCAAACTTCAATCACTGTGGGTCATTGCCCGGCTAAGGGGGCGCGTCCAGCCCCCAATTCTATTTCACAGTTAGTTAACTTGAGGCCCAATAGGAAGAGGTGGCTCTTGGGTTCTTTCCACAGCGCCTCACGCAGTTCCCAGGTAGATCTAGTTCAGATCAGCCTGGGGGCCCAGGATTTACTGCTTCCAGTTGGACTGATCTGCATTTTATCCCCGTTTGCTTTGTACTCGTTTCTACGTTGTTTACAGCTCTTAGGCCTCACTCGGGCAGTTTGGTCTCTTGTAAAATGCGGCCCCCGCCTTCGCAGCGTGGCAGCCCAGAGTCACTCCTATTTACTGCGCTTCAGCCGCCACGTGCCCAATAAAAGCCGGTGACGACGCCGCGGCCAGAGGGGTAAGGGGAAGAGTAAGGGCCCTGCCTACAGGGAGGTCACGGGCCCGCCTACCCCCGCCCCCACGAGACCGCGGCGCCCGTCCTCTCCCCCAGTCACCACCCTCAGCTGGAAGTGGA